TTAGTTTCTTTCAGCTTATTGTTTTTTGTCGTATTTGTTCAGTCTCACAGCTCTCATCAGTGTTTTTGGTATCTTGTTTCAGTAAAAGTTCTGACAAACCCTCCATACTCTACCCGTCCAGAATCAAACAGCAGACAGACATTGTTAGCAAACTGGGGGTTTTAGCAGAGCCAGATATTTCCTTAAGGAGTTGGTGGTGACCGAAACAGAGCTGAAAGGTCGTCACAGACACGACTCCTAATGATTGATAATGTGTCTCAGTGTCTGCTAGATGTGTAAATAGAAAAATGTTTGCTAAGTTCACCAGTGTGTCGTTGTTGTGTTTACAACTTGTTTGTGCTGCCCCTAAATGGCCAAAAAGTCTTAATTCAGGTTTAAGTACATTTATGTGATCTTATTTTACTTTTTTCACTGCAGGAAGATTTATTTAGATTCTTTTTTGTCTCACGTAGTGTAAAAGCGCTTTGAGTGGTTGGAAGACTAGAAAGGCACTATACAAGTACAGGTCCATTTACCATTTAAACTGTACTTGAGTAAAGGATGTAAATAGTTCTTCCACCACTTTAAGTAACAAGAAGTTTCTCTTTTCATCCACAGCAAACTACGACATCAAGCCCAGAGTGAGCGGTTTGGATACAGAGAGGTAAAAATTAGGTTAATATTTAGCACACTTTAAGGTTTAAACCAATGAAATCTCTCCTAAATATAAATATATATATATATATATATATATATTTATTTATATATATATTTATTTATTTATATATTTATATATATATATATAATATATATTTATTTATTTATTTATTTATTTATTTTTTTTTTTTTTTTACTCCTACAGGTGGTACTAAAAGGAGATCCAAAAAAGTTGAGTCTTCATGGGGTAAGGATGTGATTTACATTTGCAGAGCTTAAAACTTATTTAATGTGACACAAAAAAAAAAGAAACATAATGCATGATAATATCATCGAATGACTGTCCTATCTCTGTCCTGTCTGTCACTCACAGCAGACGTGCGCCGTGTGTCTGGAGGACTTCAAAGTGAAAGACGAGCTGGGAGTGTTACCATGCCAACATGCTTTCCACAGGAAGTGAGTACTGGAGAGCACAGTGGAGTCTTTTTTTGCTATTGTTACCACTTTGCACCGGCCTGGGCTTGTTAAAAATTGAAATACTCATGTCTGATGTGAAGTCCAGTGATCAGGAATTACACAGAAGTATCAGTTGAGTATTCCCGACTGCAACACGGCACCTCAGGAGTTCTCTTTCACTTGCTTTTCCTGCTTCTTTCTTTTCAGGTTAAGGAAGGAATTGTCAGGGCAATAGTGTATCCCAGAGGACACTTGGTAGATGGCAGATCAATCTAGTTCTATGATCTTGTAAGGAAGGGTTTTTTTCTAGGTAGTCGAGCCATAAACGGTACAGGAATACCCCCCCCCAGGATCACTGGGTGCCGGTTCTGATTAAAGTAAAGGTGAATGGGGTGGAGGAGGGTCACATCGTTCAGACACTGAAATGAAAGGAAAGTTTTAAAGTTTGGCAGACACAAAACTGAAACAAATTTAAATACTCTTCCTGATTGAACTTTCCCAATCAACTACCAGTTTAATAAGGAGAGATCATTTGGAAGTGTATAACAGTATTTATTTAAAAGAAAGACTGAAGTGATTAGAGTCCATTGTTGGTCCATATGAAGATGGCAGAAAAAACATTGGTCAGATCTGGTGACGTCAGAATTGTGAACGTAGAGACTTTGACTGTGGGGGAAAAGCTTGTAAAAGTATTTTATAGTGTGGTTTTGCCACTTTTACTCACAGCGTTTGTTTTGACCAGTAAAAAGTGTCTCATGTTCTCATGTTGCAAATTTGGTTTGGCTTCTCTTCTGATGTCTCTCCTGTCCGTGTTCTTCTGCACAGGTGTCTGGTAAAGTGGCTGGAGGTGCGCTGTGTTTGCCCCATGTGCAACAAACCCATAGCTGGCCCACCTGAGCAGCACCATAGCATAGGGACTCTGCTAGACGAACTGGTGTAACCTCTCACCCCCTGCCAGCCTGGGTGGGACGCCTGCGCCCAGCCAAACCAGCTGGTAAAAGTTAGCGACCAACAGGAAGAGGGACATTGTTTTTGCTGTTAAAAAAACACAGCAAAACGGCAACATGATGATAGTAAGTTGGGGTAACCTAGTTACCACTCGAAAAAGGACTATGAAGGATGCTGTTGCCTGGCAACCATCTCCAAGATGGCAACACGACACCTTGTAGTGTCTGAGAGATTCTCTCCAGCCACCCACACATCACTCCACCACTCTTCTTTCAACATCCCCCTCTTCACCTGTTCGATCACATCTTCTTGTGTTGCCTTGAGTGAGGTTAATGGCACCACTGAAGTGAAGGAGACACAGTTGAATTTTTTACAGCGATGTGAACAAATGAGTGTTGAAGGATGACAGTAGGCGGCATCTGAGTATGAATGAGTGTTGTATGCCATGGTGGTCACTGATATGAGATATCAAAATTGGCTGAGGTTATTGAAACTCTTGTGAAAAATGGATGGAGGTCTTAAATTCTTTCAGAGAAGAGGTTTTGGGCCACAGACGAGTTACGCAGTGCTAAGATTCCTAGAGTTTATTAAATAAAAAAAACAGGTAGAAGAAGGGTTTCACAAAAGTGTCTGGAGCTGTCTGGAAACAAAGGCCTGTAGAGAATTAATAATACTGTAGCGAAGGCACAGACAGGGTTGATTAAAACTGCCTTCAAGGAAATGAAAAACTTTGGCCTAAGATTATAAATTGAAGTCACACCAGTTAAAAAGAAATGATTGAAAAGGTGGATTCAAGCCTCATCAGTAAGACCTAGATTATTTGTGTTACTTAGAAGAAGAAGCTCAAACTGTAGTCCATGTGTAGCAGATTAATCAGTGTTTTTGCTGATGCGTTGAACTGATACTGATGTGTAAAAATCCATATTTGGTGCCCACCTCTACAGTGATATCATGTATGTTCATGCTCCAGTTGTGTTTTTTTCCACTGGGATGTTTTATTGTTCAGAAATGTTTTATTGTGTTAATGTAGATGGAAGGAACTGACACCTCCTGCCTGTTGCTGTAACAGTTTGGTTCTTTGATATATATGGTTTTTTTTTTTTTTTTTTTTAAGATATTGCACTTTGAATTCACAAAAAAACAAAACAAAAAACGTTTCCATGCCTTTGTTCTTCAAAAATGTCAGACTAAGGTTTGGATGCAGCACAGCAAGTCCCTTGTTTTCAGGTGTGGTGAATCTTTTATAAAAGTCTATGAAGTATCAGAGATGCTGCTTCATCTCAAGATAAAGGAAGCAGCAGTACAGACCCTCGGTGTTATGTGAATCCATCTGGGAAGCAACTGAATCTCACTTTCATACATAGCATTTTTGTGGCATTATTGCTGGTGATTCTGTTTTACATTCCTCGGGCGTAGGTTGTTTTTATTTTAGTTTGTTGTGAATTACAACGATTCAGAAAGCAAAACACTGCCTAAATTGAGCACAAAACTCACAAAGCACATTCTCCAGATAGAAAATGCACCTGCACTGAAATTAAATGCCAAACACACGTGAGGCTGTTGAAGTCACATGAGTCCGTGTGCCAAGAAAAGAAAAAACAAATGTCTCTCCTGTTGTATTTTCAACACGAGACAGAGAAACGTTCACTCTGATTCTGGCCACATTCCACATTTTGTAATCCAACAGATGTAAATAACTTGAAACAATAATAAATACAGTTGTCTGTTTTGCTCAGCTTCTCTTGTTTATTTCTTGGTAGCCATGTATGTGGCGCCATCACCAGGTGAAATAATGTATGAAAATTATATTCTATCTGGATCACATGCTTCTCAACCTTTCTGTTTTGTGACCTTTTTAAAGCCAAACATAACCCACACACCTGTGTCTGAGTAGGTTTTAGAGTACTGTAAATTTGTGTAAATGTGACAATGGCTATTGATTAATCTAATGTATGATTGTCAGTTATTCTTTTGATTAATTGTGTATAATAGAAATTGTTAGCATTTTGTCACAAAACATATTGATTGATATCCAGTAATTGTTAATTAAGTAAGATGTTTTGGCTTTAAAGGGCCAAATCTAGTCTGCTCAGGGTTTAACATCAGTGTGAAATTTATTCTAACACTATTTGCAAGGCTACATAACACTGAAGGTAAATGTTGAAGTTCTAGAAACGCAAGTGTTCAAAAGTTCTGAATGTGCAAAAACTGTAGTTATTAGTTAGGTAAATGTGTGTTTATATCACACACCAATAAGGCTGCTTGCACAATAAAAGACAAAAGCAAGACATAAAAAAACAAGAGCAGTATATTAAACAATCCAGAGATGTCTCACATGTGAGTTACAGCTCTCTTGACAGGATGCATTAAAAGTGTGAACAATCATCTCCATCTCAGCTTGAGACAAAATGAATCTACATCATCAGTGTCCCTCTGCTGGATAAAGATAATAATGAATAAAATAATATTATAGTTATAATAAGTGCTGCACTAAGAGAGAAAATAGCTCCACTCAGTCCTTTTCCTTTGAAAACAAAAGGAGTACATGCCATTGTACAATAACACTCACTTTCATACACACTTTTAAAATATTAATACTAAAATAAATGAATCATTACCGTAAATACATTCATATTGGGTCACTGGATCTCCATTTAAAGAGAAACCTTTTCTATATAAGTGAATAACAGGAGAAACAAAGTAGTAAACTCCAACATTTAGAGGAGTCAGAGAAAACGAGGCCCATCTGTACGCTGCCTCATTAAATGTGCAAGACCCCGTCCTATTGGTGTGATCCAACTGGTACCTAGCTATTTCCCTGCAACAGATTGCAGGTGGCAGAGCATCGAAAGTCTGAAGGGCAGTCCTTACTCCGGTTGCCTTCTAATTAGATTTAAGGGCAGGGCGGAGCCTCACTGGACCTGAAAGGGAATTCAGGATGAGGGCAGATGGTGTGAGATCTCACAGGGATGGAAGTGAACACTGGGTCTGATGTGGAAAAAGAGAGTGGAGAGCTGAAGAGAGGGAGGTGCTGGGAAAAGGTGGAGACTGAGAGGAAAAGAGATGGGGGAGTAAGGAGGTACTCAGACCTGAGCAGGACAGCGTTCAGTTGGGCCACTTCAGCAAAATGTTGTGTTGTCTTTTAAACTAAATGTTTAATATGGATAGGTAACCGTCTCTGGGCTTTCCTGCAAAACTAAGCTCCAACGCATGGTTGAGAAACTCCTGAGATTAAGAGCAGGAAGCAGGAAGAGACGAGCAGTTCAGGATTATGGACATTGCATCACAACTTTCCTTTGAAATTCACAGCAGTTGGTGATTATATCCAAATCTTTTCTTTTTTAAACTGTCTGTCTTTAATTACAGCTTTGTAGAGTGTTATGTGTGTGTGTTGGAGGGGGGGTGATGTTATACATATTTCAGCCTGTGATCTCAGTTTTTTGCAATCAGTTTCATCATGAGAGCTCATAAATGTGATGACCCACTGCCATTTACTTCCAGTAAGGTGTTCATGTTGAGATGACAGCAAGATGAAAGCTTTGCAGTCATTTTAGAATAGATGAAAGGCTTTTATGTGAGACACAAGAGATTAAAGATTACAACCATAACCATTTTTAAGCTGAAAGGCAATTGATGCTGTGGATGGATTTTATTAGCGTGCAGGTTAAATAAAAGGGCTGTAAGTTGTCTTAATGGTAGAATGCTTTAAAAGGGTTTGCATGGTATGAACACATGCATCTGTAATCACCAACACACACAAACACACACACACACTTGGGTGGACATGGAAACATAAGCAAGTCTTTCATGAGATCAGCCTCTACCTGAGCAATAAAGAGCCATCTGTGCTGTGAATAAACTGATGATGGCAACACACACTCACACACACACACACACACACACACACACACACACACACACAACAGGGTGGACAGACACACAGAGAAATGCTTGTTTCTGTCACTTCCCACCTTCAGCGTCGTGGCACTTAGAGTGAATGTAAGGTCAAGTTATTTCTCCTCCTGTGCATTTTATAGCAGCCAACCTAAACCTGACCAGCAGTCCAACAGCAACGAGAAGACGAAGGAATGGTAATGAAATAAGCTGCTCACACACATCAGAACAGGACTGTCAAGGTTGGTTAATTTGCTTTCTCTGGTTGTCTTTTGATTTGTTTGGTGTAGAAAGATTTACTTTATGTGTCAGTCTTTTCTACCTCTGTTTCTTTCTTTCTTTCTATAAAGTCCTTTGAGACTTTCTTGTGACAAAATGCTTTAAGACAGTTTAACGTGATGCCAGATTCTTTGCTGTTGCTGTTATTTTAGGTGCACAATCAACAACATTCGATCTGTCTTAGTGCGAATGATTTAATGTCAGTGGTTACCAACCTAAAGGTCAGCAATCTATATTATCTTATTCTACCACTTTAATCCAGGTTGAAATATCTCAGCATCTATCTGATGGATTGCCATGAAATGTTCTACAGACATTCATGGTCTCCAGTGGTTGAATCATAATGATTTTGGTGATTCTCTGACTTCCCTCTCCCCAATATCTTCATTTTCTAAGCTTTAGTTGACTAAAAAATACCTTTACAATAAATTGTATTTTGTGTTAAGTGCCAAATAGCAAACGTTAGCATGCTAACTCTCTAAACTAAGATGGTGAATATGATAAACATTACACCTGCCCAGCATCAGCATGTTAGCAAAGTCATTGTGAAAATGTTAGACTCTTACTCTTGTTTCCTTGTGAAATACTGGATACTCTGACCTCTTCAGGCCTTTACAAATCCTGAAAATGAAACAATCTAAGAAAGAAACATACTTTGTTGGTTGAACTGCTCATAGTTTGTGTCCATAACCTGTAATTAGGAGTCCTAAGTAGACTTTTATTAGGATTAGAAGCCTAAAAGGTTGGGAACCACTGCTTTAAAGGTCCTGTGTGTAACATTTAGGTTTACAAACCAAACACTGGCTCTAGATAGACTGCCGTTTTTTGTGCATTTTGGGGCCACCTTAGTTTCTCCTTTGCACTTGGAAGGGGAGGGTGAAGCAAGGGAATAGCAATACATGGATTTAGTGTAGACTAAATCCTGCACACTGTGTAAACTGTATATTGTTGTCATTATAGGGACTTTCAGCGCTCTGGTGATGATCTCTGGTCCTAAACTGTCCTGTGACACAAACACATTGGTCCAATATTTAAGAGAAATGAATGTTTGGACACCGTGGGAAGATGCTGCCTGAGGAAGTGACAGATATAAGGATGACATGAGAAAACAAGAGGACATCTTCTTTAAAAGCTGTAATTTTTCACATCTATGGTTTAGGAACTATGGGTTGCTGTGCTTTTTGTGGATGCATCTCCACGTGACAAGAGTAAAGTTATGATTTTATAAGCCTCAAGTGTTTAAGGATTTTTAAAAAAGACAATCCACCATGTTTAAACGGTGGCTTTTAGCCTTGTTGGCCCGTGTCGGCCTCATTGTACTGGGCCTCTGCTGTTGTCTGTTCCTGTTCTACCTCCTGGCCTGTAAACCGACGTCTCGCAGCAGCCAGCAGTCTCTGCTGTGGTCTGGAGGGGCCACCAGTAAAGAGGGATACATGGCCTTGTTGCAGGAGAGGGAAGACTCTCACAGACATTACATCAACAGCCTGACGAAGCAGATAGCCCAGCTAAAAGAGGCCCTCCAGGAGAGGACGCAGCAGCTCCAGGAGTCCCTTGACAAAGCTAAAACAAAAGGGATTCTGCCTCAGGGTCTGGAGAGTCTGCACAAAACCCCCACACAGTCTGACCTGAGGGTAGGAAAACATGATACAGGATGATGCAGATGAAAAAAATATGCTGAATTCATGTCTGCTGATGAGATAAATGAAGTTATAGATGTAGCAGTAATTGTTACATCATGTCCTCCAGGAGTTCTTCCGCTCCCAGCTGAACCAGGCGGAGGTGAACTCAGGTGTAAAGCTGCCCAGTGAATATGCAGTGATTCCTTTTGACACTTTCACCCTGCACAGGTGAGTGGGACAGCAGAGCCAGCAGGGCCTCCAGGAGTAACTGTGTAACCTACTTCTGATGTCAGATCTTACCTCATGCAATGCTGCCTCTTGATGAAGTGAGTTTTTGTGCTGTCACTCAGGGTGTACCAGCTGGAGACGGGGCTGACCAGGCATCCGGAGGAGAGGCCTGTGAGAAGAGACCGCAGAGACGAGCTGATTGGCACAGTGGAAACAGCTCTGCACGTCCTCAATGGACCTCAACAACACACAGACAACACCAGGCGGAAGCACACATACTCCCCTTCAGACTTCATAGAGGGTGAGATTCATTCATCTTCTTCACACGTTTACCCTTGGTGGACTGCTGTCACTCCACAGTTGGATAAACACATGTAGACATGCATGTCCAGCTGCCATTTCATTTCACATCATAATTCATTTTGACATTGTCATACATGTTTTATTTTGTTTTGGAAGGGTTGTTATTGTCACTGTCAGTGTTATGGATGCATCAGCTGTTTCTCCCGGGATACTTAGTCAGTCCAGGGCTTTCTTTTTTTAAAATCTGAAATCTGTGCACCTCACTGCATGAAACTTAATACTGAGACCAGCAGTGACTGGATGAATGTAACTGATAATGGAAACACTGAATTTTACAGGACGATACCACAGACAAAGACATTGTAGTTAATGTAGATTGGTCATTGGGTCGATGCCATGCTCGGCTAATTGGTGCAGATACTGATCCAGCAGATCAGATTGGTAAATCCATAATGACTATAGTTTGTTTATAGTTAGTTTTCAATTCAGTTTCATTTCAGTTAGTTTCCAGAGTGGGTTTGCTTGTTGTTGTTATTGTTTGGAATGTTTTAGTTGAGTTTTATTAGTTTTTAAATTATAATATGGTGGTTATCTGTCAGGGGCAAGATTGAAGAATTTCAGAATAGAAGTCCAGAATATCTATTACAATACAAACACATTGACTCACAGTCATGTGGACATCCCAATCTCAATAAAAATATAAACCAATTCCTCCTTGTTGTGTTGACAAAAACACAAATTGACAAAAACTAAAACTAAAGACATTTTCTGTATATCTTTATTTTATTTTATTATTTTTTAACTACAAACTATCATTTCAGTTAGTTGTATTTTTATTTCAGTTAATTCATATGTTTATTCACACCTAGCTTAAGTTTTTTCTATAACAACCTTATACCTGAACATAGCCACTGAAGTCACCATGTTGACAACAAGCTGTGGAAGTGGTTTCCAGGAGAAGTTAGTTTGATGTTTTTCATGTGGATTGAAGATAAAAGGCAGATTTAAGAGTTAGTTATTGACTTGAACACACACAATGTGTATAGCTGTATCGATCTCATCCACACTTGCTGACACAAAGTTACAGTTTTTCTAGCTCTGGCACAGGAATCCCACCTGCAAAACTCGGTTGGTTGTTTTTCCAACCAGGGAAATGACCGTCAGTCAGCACAACACCAGACTTATTGAGACATTGTGATACCATTGCTAAAAAATCAAGATGGATTTACAGTGTAAAGTGTTTCCTTTGCATTCACATTGCGTGAAATTATTAAATGAATAGCCACAATAACAATTAAGACCTTCATTGAAGTTAAAAGTTTTTTCTAAAAGTGGATCTGTGGAGTCATTTTGCTTATAATAAATTGTCATTATATCACATTATGTAATACTTCAGCCTCAGTCCGAAACAGGTGTTCTTCAACTAATCAGTTGAGAGGAATGAATTAACTAGTAATTTACTAATATCCAGTTTCAAAATAACATAACCCTTTCTAGGAACCTTCCTATGAACTTATTGTCATATCAGTTCTTTTCTACAAAATTATAGGAAAGTATTCTCCTGTTTCCTCTGTCTCTGTCCCAGGGTTGACTCGTACAGAGCGGGACAGAGGAACAGTTTATGAGCTGATGTTTAAAGGCGACGGCCCACAGGACTTCACACGACTCATGCTCTTCAGGCCGTTCGGTCCCGTGGCGAAGGTCAAGAGTGAGACTCTCGACATGCGCAGCATCCTCATCAACATCATCGTACCTCTTTCCAAGAGGTCAGACGCATTCAGGCAGTTCATCAACAACTTCAGGTATCATTTGAAAGTGAATTAACACACTGGCACCCACTCACAGACACTAACTGTGATTGTATCATGACATTATTGATCTCAAACTTTAGCGATTCGTTTGGAAGTGCTGAGTGAATCCTTATCTTAATAGAGTAGCTTGGTTGAAAGCCAGTGAGACTTCTCGCCACTTCAGAGAAAATTAGTAGAGTAGATTTATAAAGCTGGTTTCACAGGTGTGGATGTGATTGTTGCTCTTATCTGTAAAAGGTAATTTGTGGCTATATCCTGATAAAGTGGGGTAGATGTGGGTATCTGCATAATGCCTCCTTCTGTGTTTCTTGGTTCAGAGAAGTGTGCATCCAGCAGGACGGCAGGGTTCATCTCACTGTGGTCTACTTTGGTCGAGATCAGATAGACCAGGTGAAAGCCATGCTGGACCAGACCACAAGGTAAATGTAGACAATTTAAAGCTTAATCATCAGCTAATGTCTCATTAAGAGTAAAATGCAAATTTTAAATAATAATTACCTACAATATCTTCCTCTGAGGACACAGTTATAGCCTCCCACATGCTGCTTTTATACAATTTTATACATTTATTATCTCTTTTTCTTCTTAAAAGATCCAACAAATACTCAATCTACAACTTTATTTATATAATTTAAAGCAGCAACGAGGAAATTTCATTTGGCAACATGCAGCAACACTGATTACTTAAAGAATTAATATCTTATAGCAAGACTATTTCAAAATCTGTTTCTTCTTCTCAGCTCTTTTGGAAGTTGCTCTCACAGATGTCTGTGTGCTGCACTGCAGATATTTTGGCTGTAAGATAAAAAAAAACCCTGAGAAAGAGTATCAGTGTTTTAGAGCTGCGGGCTAATAATAAGCTCATCCTGTGGAGCCTCTGGACCCACAGGGACCAAAACACAACCCACTATCTTGTTCAGGCCGGGAGGATAAAATCTTTTTTACTTCAGGCTTTTGGGAGCAAAATACCGTAAATCCTCTATGAGCTTTTGTTAACTATGTAAAATGCAATGGTGCAACAGACTGATAACACAACTCTGTCTGCAGGTTGATTGCTTTTGAATTTACTCTTCAAATTATAACACTCAGAAGCATCGGAGTACCTGTCTGATTAATCAGTCCACCTGTCCTTTTTCCATCAGAGAGACTCGGTTCAGGAGCTTCACTTTGATCCAGTTGAATGAGGAGTTTTCTCGTGGGCGGGGCTTAGAAGTGGGTGCCAGGGCTTGGAGGCGGAGCCAGAACGTCCTGCTCTTCTTCTGTGATGTTGACATCCACTTCACTGCTGACTTCTTAACTTCCTGTCGCCTCAACGCAGAGCCTGGTGAGAAAGATTATTGCTTCACTTAAAACTGTATGAAACATTTACCCAGGAGCCTTTTTAACAACATCATGCAACACGTTTTCCTTCCAGACACGCCTTTACTGTTACTACAGCTGTGAAAAAGGTCTATTTGGTAGGCACCAGGGCCAGTTTGAGTCATTATAAGTGAGTGGTTTACTCTCTATTTCAATCTGGCAAAAAAAAAAACTGTTCACGTTATGCTGCTCTGTGCAGCAGGTAAAAAACCACCACATGTTCCAGCAGCATCATAAACAATAAATATAATGATAAGCAACTATTTAATGTGATTTGTTGCGGCTGAATCCGACTGTCTCTGCCAACAAGATGCGATAAAAATGAAAGTTTACCACAGCGGCTCTGACACCTCCTGCTGCTGCTCCTCACACCTGCTGTCTCAAATGCTGCCTGCACTTTAACACTTTTAATGTTATTACTAACACCTGTGGTTCTCCTACTATGACAAGTCAAAATGTCTGCTGTGAAAAACACTCAAACACATGAGGACTTGCACTAACCTCAAAATTAAAATGATAATTTATGAGATTCCTTTGATTTTGTCCCTGTCTTTATATATCAATAATTCATTATTGTTGTTTTTGTCTCTAGGTAAAAAAGTGTACTATCCAGTGCTGTTCAGCCAGTACAACCCATCTATTATCTACCGTAATCACACAGTCCTACCCTCTGTTCAAAAACAACTGGTAGGTAAAACATAATATACAAACAGCTACATTTACTTGAATGAATTAGAGCAAATGTCATCAGGATTTCGAGACACTGATTTCCTGCTGCTCCTTTTGTCTCAGGTGATGAGGAAGGAAACTGGATTCTGGAGAGATTTTGGGTTTGGAATGACGTGTCAGTACAGGTCTGATTTCCTCAACATAGGTAATGGAAAAGCTTGTTTCATTACAAATGTCCCTAATTTCATGTTTTAAAAGACATAATACAATTAAATATTAATGTTAACTCTCAGTTTTATAATATACACATACTGTTTGTGGCAATAAATGCATTCAAGTACATGATTCTGTGCATTTTATGTAAAAACACACTATTTTCTCTCTTTTTAGTGATTGTCTAATGCTGCTACAGTTATTGTACATAAAACAGTGAAACCACCCTGACTGAAAAAGCTATTTTACTTAGTTTATACCTTCTCTCTGCTTTAAGCCCCTCTCCTTCAAATAAATCCAATAAAAGAAACACTCTTTTAAAATGCTGTTATTAACTCCAATTCTCATTGTCTCAATGTGTGTGTGTCTTATTTCATTTCCTGGCAGGTGGTTTTGACCGTAACATCAAAGGCTGGGGGTTGGAGGACGTGCACCTGTACAGAAAGTACCTTCACAGTAAGCTGATGGTGATTCGATCTCCGTCTCGAGGCCTTTTCCACTTGTGGCATGAGAAGAACTGTGCGGACGAGCTCCCTCCAGACAAGTACAAGATGTGCATGCAGACCAAAGCCATGAGTGAAGCCTCGCACAGCCAGCTAGGGGAGCTGTTCTTCAGACGGGAGATTGAGCTTCATTTGAACGCCCAGAAGCAGAAGAACAGAGGAACATAATGAGGACAGTTGAGTTGGGGTTAGCATTGAGATAATAAGATCTTGTGATGTTATTAGTCACTGTTATGTATGCGCTTGTTCTGGTTTTCATGATCATTTATGTATACTTACATTAACTGTTCAGCTACAGACAAAAGGTGATTTACTATGATTATTGTTCTCCACATGGACACATAAGCTTGTACAAAAGAAAACAAATAATTGCTGATATTTTTGTGTCAATAAAAGAATGACCTGTATGATCTAATTGTCAGCTTCTTTAAATAGAAAAGTCAAAGAGGGAATGTGGCAAAAACTACATAATAGTTTATAATGTGGTTTACCTTAAGGCAGGTGTTCCCAAACCTTTTCTGTCATGCAGCAAAAAATCCCAGACACTCATATAGAAATTAGTAACAAAAGGTATAATTTTGTTGAACTAACAATATCTATAACTACTGTTACTGGTGCATTTGTACCAGTGGCAGAATGTAACAAAGTACATTTACTCAACTGTACTTCAGTACAAATTAGAGGTACATTTTTTTTTAAGTTTACATTTATTTCACTACATTTCAGAGGCAAATATTATACTTTTTATTACATTACATTGGTCTGACAGCTTTAGTTCGGCGATTTAGAACTTTAATTTTGTTATTAAGATTTATATCACATTATCTGAGTATTATTATTGATGCATGAGTGAGTTTAAGCAGCATTTTACTGTTGGAGTTGGTCAGGATGGAGGTAGTTTTAACTATTGTTGCTGTTGGGTATTTTAACAATAACAATAACAATGTCTCATATTGGATGAACTCATCATATGTTTTGTATGTAAATATCTCTAAACCAAATAGTACCTACAGCTGATAGGTAAGGGAGTGGAGTGAAAAGTACAATGTTGCCCTTTGAAATGTAGTGGAGTAAAAGTATGAGGCAGAACAAAGTACAAAATAATATAATAGCTTAATATAACACTCAGAAAGGGGGCAGTGTTGCATAATTTATACTAAAAGTTAAATATAAAAATATATATCACTGCCAATGCGTCTGCACTTTTTATTCATTTTATTTTTGAATGAAATGAAATAACTTTTTAATAGAGTATTTTCCATTGGAGCAGTCTAATTAAAGGGTCTCAATACTTCCTCAATCAATGCCCAAATATGACAAAAATGTTATGAATGAGGACTCACAAAGCTTTAAATAACACTACATCTACAGCTGTTAAAAGCCTATGTTACATTTACATAAAAGCTGAAATGAATTGACCAGAAAACATGGAGCGGATTCCTTCACTGTTATGTGCTCCATTCACGAGGAGACAGTAAACTCTCTCCTATTAATAGAGATTTAACCTCATTACCTCTGTGGACGCTGGAGGAGGGAGGAGCAGCTCTGCATCAGCCGACGGCTGTCGTAGCGTCAACACAGGCACGCGATAGGCCCGAAACTCCCATTATCACTTCCCCTGTCCTGTGCTGCGTTCAAGTACTCCGCGGATATCCCAAAAAAGATCTGTCCAATGGCAGTAGAGGAATTCACAGACACACAGAGGCACCTCAGTTTGTTTACTTGCATACAGGACTTTACTACGGTCAGGATAACGTTGATCACAGACTGTAAGCCTAATCAATAATAACGTTAGCTAACATATATTAAACAGAAACTCGTATTTTTGTTGTATCATTAAATAACAAACCAAGAGCATTCACAGAGGAGCAGAATCATTTTAATTTTAATACATTTGAACCAATAGGAAACAATGAATAACAAATAGAGTTGAAACACTTAGTTATCAGAATATTGATTATAATCTATTAATAGAAAATTAATTGACAACAATGTGAGCTGCTTATCCCCCAGTGAGCCCCCAATATGTACAGTATTGTATTTTATGTATTTTTCTATGCCATAATGCTACCTCGTGGTAGTTTCATTCATTTAGGAGTGTGCAACATGAAAGCACAAAGCTGAAACAAACTCTTCAAAAACATGGCCTCAGGAGATGAAGCCGATATGAACATCAAAACAGGTTTTACTTGCTGCGATTATTCCTCCTACATACCGCCCAGGAAAACATCCCCTCCCAATACTGCACTTTGAATGTAAGCAATAGAGAACAAAACCCACAGCCCTATTTTTGATCTGAAACTAACATATTGCTCCTGCAGTCTGAATCAGACAGATTTGTGTTTAGATAGTGATAAAAAAGAGGAAATGTAATGCTAAAAAGACTGTTACTTTGGAAGATATCCACCTGGTTTGTCTAACTCAAACTGCTGAAGACTCAAATCAGCATCAGACAAACACAGTTGCATAAAACAGCCCAATCATACAATCTCAGCAAACCTGTATCAGTGTTCATATGGGTGGTGGTTGTTGTTGTTGTTGTTGTTGTTGTTGTTGTTGTTGTTGTGAACCTATGCTTTAAGGCGCTTTAATCTAGTAGTGACTGTTCTCAAATGATTCTTTAAAATTAAATTAGCAGTCTGGGACATCAAATAAAATGTACATTAAGTCAAATTTTGATTCTGATACTTTTGTACTTTTACTGAAGTAACATTTTTAATGCAGGATTCTAACTTGTAGTGTAGAAATACACTGTAGCTTTGCTAATCTGAGTACTTCTTCCATCACTTTTACTTACCAAACTCCACCCCATGCACAGGTCGCAATCTGCATCCACCACAGTCGTCATTCCTCCGGGCTGTACGTGAAGGCAGCATGAATCACAACTGGCTAGAGTAGCGCTGCTTTGCGTCAGTCCCTCACCGGTAATGTCTCCTCTGAGGACAGGACAGTATTATCGGCTGAAGAAATCTTCCTGTCGCGTTATGATGGTTTGTGAGCAGTTGAAAGGGTGAGGCTCTTCACGTCTGTGGTGGTGTTAGATTAGTTTTTAGCATATAGTTGAGTGTTTTTCACCTAGAATACCCTATATATATTTTTTTTTTACCTATTTGTTTTTTTACATCCCCGGTAGTTTTTTTTTTAAAACTTCTCGGACAGTCTCTCGGAGTTTGGTGGCAGCGCAATGACACTGGTGTGTTTTAATTTTGTGCTGGAATAGCGAGACATGTGCGGCAGATACGCTGCGTCTCGTCTCGCCTAAAAGCAGCCGGGACAACCGACACCACCGGACATTTTTTACAAAGACAGACACCAAGGGACGGAGACGCAACATGTTTGAAGCTTCAGGGATCCCTTTCATCGTGCTGGATGTTACCTGTCTTATCCTCGGTATGTACAAATCTAATCCTGTTAAACCAGCCTTTTAAATCAGAGTTGTTTATTTATTTGTCTCTAAATTGACTTTTCTTTATCATCAAAAATAAATTAAAGGACTCCTACAGCGCAGCTCCTCTGGAAACATATTAGCTATATAAAGTAGCTGTTTAAGCAAATCCATTCAAGTGATTTGCATGAACGTTATATAAATACACATGAGAAGGCTTGAGGTTTAAGGAACCGGGGAACCAGGAAGATGGAAAAAAAAAAAAAAGGCAACAAAGTCCCACCCTGTGTGTGTTTTATTTTCCCTGCAAAGCTGTATTTTTAGCTCCGTGTTTGGAATGAAATCATAGCACAGAGACATGCTGCAACAGGACCACTACGTGGGATTAAAAGTGCTGCAGTGATTCTGCAATAAAACAATTAGAAGCAACCTTTGTACGGTAATGGAAACACTCAGCCCAGTTCAGAGATTGATAAGGATAGAGAGGCTGAGACACACAAAGCTCCACAGATATTTTCCTGGGATTAATTTGCACTCAGTCACTTCGCTTAGTCAGTGTCTTGTGGTTGGCTGTGCTGCTGACTGTGCACCAATCCTCTCATTTAGTTTTCGCAGCAACAACCAAGCTGGAAAATGTAATTTTTATTTCCTCTGATGTTCCACAGTGGGTTCAGGACACTCCTGTGGTGGAAGAAGTATTCAGATCATTTTTCTAAAGTGAATTAGAAATACCACAAAGTAAAAGTACAAAAGTATTATAAGCAAAAAGTATGTAAAGTATCAAAAGTAAAAGTAGCTTATCCATTATGCAGAAACGGGAAATTGGATTATTGTTACTGTGTTAGCAGCGTTGTATTGTTGTAGTTGGTCAAGGTGGTACTGATTTTAACTACCTTTATACAGTTGTATTGTTTAGTCTATGTTACTTTTTGTGTAAAATAATATACAAAGTAACTACAGCTCTCAAATAAGTACAGCACTTGAGTAAATTTACTCTGTTCCTTCATCTCATTGCATAAAAGTAATATAAATACCCCATTAATATGTCTTCTATGCTTAACTCATCAACCTGTTATCAGTAATACAATATAAAGTACCTTGATGTCAGACATTGATTGGATTTCCCTACCTTGATAAAGGTTGTTGGACTTTTTACACACCAGGGCCATTGATCAATATAAATCCAGTACTTTATCAGTCCCTCACTGACGATGTCTGATATGTTGGACTTTAATATATATTAAAATGCCGTGTATAAAGGGGAATATAAGACTGATATTGTCTGTCTTATCTGTTGTAACACTATAATACATAATTATTATTTCTTCTGACTTTACATTTAATTTTCTTATCTAATTTATTGGAAACACAAACACATATATCTATCTTTGCATTATCTCTTTACTGTTTATAACTGGTTTCATAAACTATTGACTTCCTATTTCTGTGCTGTTAATATTACTATATCTGAATGGAAGATGTATAATTATCTACTCTGCAACATAAAGGGGATTTAAAAGCACTCACACAGATAATGCGCACTCAGTAATTACACAATCTAATAACAAAACAAAGACTACTTGTACACACTGTTATAGATAGAAAGTATTGCAATCAGAAAGCTTCAATTTCAGCAGATTGTCAACAAAAATACAAACAATCTGTGACACATTACTGCAGAGAAGAAAGAAAGAAAGAAAGAAAGAAAGAAAGAAAGAAAAGAATAAATAATCAAATTAATAAAACAATAAGCAATTAAATAATGGATATTGTTCCACTATTATCATATCCCCTCTGCCTCTGCCCTTCTCTTTCTTGCAGTTTATGGTTTTTAGGTGGAACACAAACTCATCTTAGTTGAAGTAGATGGAAATTTTCAAAGGTTAACTGAATGATCTGATTTTAGTTTATTCAGAATTTCAAAAGGCATTAGTGAGTGTAATTTGCCCTGCAGTAGCTTTAAACGAGCAGGCCTAAACAAAGCTCTGTGACTGTGTGATAACTCATTCAGCATTATTGCCAGTG